CCACGGCGGCCCGGACCGGACCCGTTTATCGCCAATCAGTCGGGCCGGCGCCCGGCTCACACCATTGTTCGCTGACAGCCCGGGACGGGCGGGGGCGGACCAATCCGACCGGACGCACCCCAGCGCCTCTCTGGGTCGGATCAGGGGGCAGCCAGGGTCCGCAGCGCCGTCACACTGATGCCGGAACGGCGGAAAGTAGTGCCAACAGGGAAAACTAGGTCCACCACTACACAACTACACCTCATCCCGCTCCTGAATGCATGGTGTGCCTATACTCGCACCGGAACCTACCGCCTGCAACACTTGTATGTACGTCGCATTCCAACCCGAGAGCGGCCGCTCAGTACAGCGCCTGTGTGAGAGAGTGACACTGAGATAGCACACCCAGACACGAGAGATTGCATATCCAGGGACGGGATACCCCACGCCCAGACACGGGAGATAGCGCATCCAGACTAAGTGCAGATCCAGACAGACTGTCACGACACGGGAACACTGTCTCGAAACGGGACAATGGTGAACTTGTCAAGTCACTGCCTGCACATGCCTCCGATCAGCTCTGTTACAATCACTGTCTGCACCATGTGTTCCCCTGTCGCGGCACTGTGCCCACCAGGCGCGGGCCCCTTATGACCCTAACCCTGACCCGTGTGCGACAGGGCCCCGTCGGAGAGGGTTACACGTGCTACTGCGCGCCCTTCTTCCGCCATGTCGAGGACAAGCTGGACAAGGACAAACACGAGCTGATCCACCACATCGACCTGACGCACGGCAAGCTGGACAAGAAGATCGCCAGTCTGGAGAAGCGCACCCGCACGCAGCTCACCGGCATCAACGAGCTGATGCGAGAGCGCTTCAGCCGCGAGCGGGCCGAGTGCGCCAACCGCGCCGAGCGGGTGGCGCTGCGCACGCGCACCGAGCTCGAGCGCCGCCAGGGCGTGCAGCTGCGCGGTGTCAAGGACGACCTGACCGCCTACCTGGAGGGCAAGTTCACCCAGCTGGGCGTGCGGGACGGCGTGCTGCGAGCCAGCGCGCGCCACCTGCACAAGGCGCGCAGCGAGGAGCTACTCACCGACATCAGCGACGACGACGACCTGGAGAGCGGCGGCAGCGGCGGCGCCGAGGGCGGCCTGCGCGTGCTGCAGCGGCCCTCCGAGTACCCGCCGCTCCGCTCGGCCGGCTCGCTCAGCGACCTGCGCCGCCGGCTCGAGCAGGAGGACTCGACCGAGACGGCGCCCAGCGAGCCGGCGGCCGCCTCGCCGCGCCACCACCCGCTGCCGCTGCGGCCCGGCGACACCCAGGACGGCTACGGCGCGCGGCCCAAGCACGGCGCCGTGCTGGAGGTGCGCAACGCCCACCTGCGCGCCGGCACCGAGCCGTGGCCGGGCGGCGCGCGCGTGCCGCCCGGCTACGTGGGCTACCCGGCCGGCGCCACCGACTCCGGCGGCCCGTACTCGCCGCTCGCCTACAACAACCCCGGCTACGTGCAGTACGAGCCGCTGCCGCCCGGCGCGCCGGCGCCGGGGCCGGGGGCGGTGCCGGGCCGGCCGCCGCCGGGCCGCCAGTTCCGACCGCTGGAGCTCGAGGAGACCACTGACCAGCACAACGACTCGGGCTACAGCACCAAGATCTACGGCAGCAGCCAGGGCCCGTCGCCGGCGCTGTCAGGTGAGGCGCGGCCGGTGCGCCTCCGCAGGTAGTGGCGCCGCCAGGTGAGTGCTGTCGGAACTGTGAGTGCGCCCAGCGGCCGCACCTAGCACCGCACCGCGCCGGGGCACGGGCCGGGTCAGCGGGTGGGAGGGGCACCCGCCGCGGCCCGGCTCGGCCCGGCTATCCACAGCACTCACCTGGCACGGCTATCGGAGCACGCAGCCGCTGATCACTGCATCAACGGACGGTACACGGGCCTCGAATGGAACGGTGGCTCACCTCACCGCTACCACTGCAGTTGGACTGTTCTTTTGTCAGAGGCAATTAGGATCTTTGGGTTTTCTTTTATGTCGCAAGACAACTCTAATTGGACATTGACCGTAATGATAAAAAACAGAGATATGGCATGGTTCACTCATAGCTGCAACTCTGACATTTTACCGTAAACTTAAAGTTCATCAACGATGTCAAACAATGTATAACTGAAAGTGCTCATTGGCCTGGAGCTGACCGGTGTGATCTTTCGGCAGGAGTACCAGAGGACGAGGCGCATCTCCATCCGAGTACACAGCTGCACCACACTTCTCAGCCGTCTCCGTCTCACTCGGGACGGACGGTGACTCCCGAGCAGAGCGGGGGGCACTCGCAGTCGCCGTCTCCGGCGCACCACCCGGCGCCGCTGTCACTGCCGCCTGGACAGACAGGGCTGCACCCGGGCCAGACTGCACCCCACCCGGGCCAGACTGCACCCCATCCGGGACAGACAACGCTCCACCCTGGACAGACAGGGTTACACCTGGGACAAACAGCACCCCATCCCGGCCAGACAGCGCTCCACCCCGGACAGAACGGGCTTCACCCCGCGCCGAACGGCCTGCACCCCGCGCCGAATGGCCTGCACCCCGTGCAGAACGGGCTGCACCCCGCTCCGAACGGCCTCCACCGGGGCGCGGGCGGGCCGCCGGGCGCTCACCCGGCCGGCCGGCTGTCTCTGGGGCCGCGTATCCAGGCTCTGCAGACACACCTGGCGCGGATCACCGAGGATATGTCCGGACTGGAGCAGGCGCTCGACCCGCCCGGCATCAAATCCAGCCTGGTGTGACCGGACCGGCCCGGAGCGCGGAGCGGCGCGTACAAACGACCTGCCGGCAGCGCGGCGCTGGCGGCGTCCGTCTGCCACAGCCGCCGGAGGGGACGCCAGTGCCACCGCCCCCACGTACAGGGACCGGCCGGAGCCGCCGGAGGGGACGCCATTGTCCCAGATACCGGGACCGGCCGGAGCCGCCGGAGGGACGCCACCGTCCCCAGATACCGGGACCGGCCGGAGCCGCCGGCGGTGCGCCCGCGAGCGAGTGATGTGTGAGGGAGAGAGAGACCGGTAGAGTACCCGCACTGTACTCTGCGCCACCTGCCAGCGCGCCAGCCTCAGTGCCATCCATCCCATTGTCAGACTGTTCTGTCCATGTTCACGGCGAGTGGTGGCGCTCGACCTCCGTCCAGGCGCCGTCACACAGCCGCGCATGCAATCATCAGTGTTATCATGTGTGGGGCGCGCTCAGTGCCCTGTCATTCTGCTATGATGTGTTGTTTGTTTACCGAGTATCCGGCCACTCCCAGTGCTGGGAGGGGTGGCCGAAGCCGTGCGGGGGCTGCGCGGTAGTGCGCACCAGTTCCGCGGCGCCTCACGTTACAAATGCTATTTATGTGGAGCCCTGCCGCTCTTGTTATTGAGCTCGCGAGTCTCATCGTTGTCTAGATAATAAAGTTTCTAGTCCATTTATATGCTACGTGTTTCGCTTGGCGATCGGATCTTTGAACAGTTAGAAGACAAGATCAGCGCCGTAAATACCCGAGTGGATTGGCGTGCAGCAGTTATCCACACCAGCATCGCATTAAATGCATCAACTTCTACGCAGAATTAGGTTAGAAAGACCCATGTCGAACCGAAAAAAAAAATACTGAGTTCCATGCACTGGCTGAGCTAGTTAAGTCCTGAATAGGGTTGGTGTTATTGTCCGGTGATACCCGTGTTATTGTTGTGTGAGCCAGTGCAGTCTCCCGTTAACCCACGAGCCGCTGGGTGCACAAAGTTGCCCCCCTTTACGTTTTGCGGAATATCTCCAAAACCTGATGAGCTACGAACGTGAAACTTGGCATAGCTTCAAATGAATACTTAGGCAATGTTTGAGCAAAATTTGATGGTTGTAGCACTTAAGATGACGTCACAGTGACGTCATAAAATATTGTTTTCCGATACGGACCGTTTCTGATGTCGCTGAGCATGAAACTCAACTGTAAATGAAATAGACAGCACCTGCTGTCATCCTAAAACATCTAAGTACACTTCCATCTAGTTCCTGACCAATAATCGGCCCTTTATATTCGGTCCCATATATCTGATATATCGTGAGGAAACTGAGAGTCGCAAATCTATAATTTGACTTATGACGTCACTGTGACGTCATTTCAAATGAGATCGACACCAAATTTAGAACAACCTCGGCTAGGTCGGCAACCTCGGCTAACCCGGCGGCCCAGCGGCCGCCGGGTTAAGCTCGTGTCATTGCGGAGTGAGGCAGTGCAGTATCAAAAGACCAGTGTTATTGCTATGTGAGCCATTGCAGTCCCCGATCATAATAGGGTTATTGCTGTGTGAGTCAGTGTAGTCTTCCGCGGTGCTGGTGCTAACTACTGTAGTGCGAGCTAGTGCAGTATCCAGTGATAACCGTGGTAGTGTTGTGTTGCCAGTGCAGTCTCCAGGATACTGGTGTTATTTCTGTGTGAACCACTGCAGTCTCCAGTGAAGCTGGCGCTACTGTTGTGAGCCCCAGTGCACTCTCCAGATATACCAGTGTTATTGTTGTGAGGACCAGTGCAGTCTCCGGAGATACCGGTGTTATTGTTGTGTGAATCAGTGCAGTCTCCGGAGATCCCGGTGTTATTGTTGTGTGGACCAGTGCAGTCTCCGGAGATCCCGGTGTTATTGTTGTGTGGACCAGTGCAGTCTCCAGAGATCCCGGTGTTCTTGCTGTGTGAACCAGTGCAGTCTCCCGCAGTTCGCGTTATTGCCTCACGGCTCGGTGCAGTCTCCATCTCGGATTTAGTACGTTTATGTCCATTGTCCAACTGTGGTGGTGTAGGTGTTATTGGTGTGTTTACCAATGCAGTCTCCAGTGAAGTTGGTGTTATTGCTGCGTATGTTATTGAAGTTTCTGTATCTGTGGAGTGATATTCTAACATTCATACTCCTTATAGTTATATGTAATCGTCATGGATATTTCATTCGACAGGCGTTTCAACCAATTCACCGCCGTGCAGTGCTAAGGAGTCATCTTCCACACATCCGGAAATATCCCTTAGACACCATGTATTACGCAGTAGACGCAGAGACATTGGCCTCAGCCCAACAACCAGATAGAATATTCCGACGATCCAACAACGTACCGCGCTCTGTTCCGGCCAGTGACGCGTCCGAGCCAGTCCAGTCCGGCCAGTTCGGTCCAGGGACCAGTCCGGACCAGTCCGGACCAGTCCGGACCAGTCCAGTCCAGTGACCAGTCCGGACAGCCCAGTCCGGTCCAGTGACGAGTCCCAGCCAGTCCAGTCCGGCCAGTTCGGTCCAGGGACCAGTCCGGACCAGTCCGGGCAGCCCAGTCCGGTCCAGTGACGCGTCCGAGCCAGTCCGGTTCGGTCCAGTGACCAGTCCGGACCAGTCCGGACAGCCCAGTCCGGTCGACTCACTCGGCCGCCGAGCTGGAGGCCTTACGCGCGGTGGCGGCCAGTTCCTTGACCCGCGGGATGACCTGCTCCAGCTGCTGGTTCACCTCTGACCGCTGCGGGTCCGCCTCCTTCAGCTTCAGCTGCTTCATCACCAGACCTGACGGAGAGGCGGGGGGGGGGGGGAGGGTGCTGAGTCAGACAGGGAGGGACATAACCTGGTGGGAAGAGGGCAAGAACAGCGGAGATAGGGGTGGGATATAACACCGAAGAGGGAGGGAACAAAAGAAGAGGACAGAAATAAGGTGAGACATCAAAAACAGTGTGATCAATGACACCCGCCCCTGTCACTCCTGCTGTGAACTATCCTGACACTCCTACAGAGTATGACATACCCTGACACTCCTGCAGAGAGTATGACACCTACCCTGGCACTCCTGCAGAAACCCACCCTGGCACTCCTGCAGACACCTACCCTGGCACTCCTGCAGAGAGTATGACACCTACCCTGGCACTCCTGCAGAGACCCACCCTGGCACTCCTGCAGACACCTACCCTGGCACTCCTGCAGAGAGTATGACACCTACCCTGGCACTCCTGCAGAGACCCACCCTGGCACTCCTGCAGAGACCCACCCTGGCACTCCTGCAGAGACCTACCCTGGCACTCCTGCAGAGAGTATGACACTTACCCTGGCACTCCTGCAGAGAGTATGGCACCTACCCTGGCACTCCTGCAGAGAGTATGACACCTACCCTGGCACTCCTGCAGATACCTACCCTGGCACTCTTGCAGAGACCCACCCTGACACTCCTGCAGAGGGTATGACACCTACCCTGGCACTCCTGCAGAGACCTACCCTGGCACTCCTGCAGCACGGAGAGCACCTCGGCGGGCACCAGGTCCGTCAGCCGGGACACGATGGCCGGCACAAACTTCCCAGAGGCGTGCAGCATGTTCCCTGCGGACGGAGACGGAGGGGAGAAAGGTCCAACGTCAGCTAGGAGCCAGCGCGGCAATACGTCCGATCAGAGACCAGCACTGTGTTCACAGAAACTGGTCACTGCGCAGTGTGCGTCCACAACGCCTGCGGTGGATGGCGCCCAGACCTCTCAGAGTGAGCAGTGTTCCGCAGCGACACTAACGCCGTGCCACACTAACTGGCGAACGTTTGTTAGAGGCACACTCACTAACCGGTGAACGTTTGGTAGAGCACCAGGGCGGCCAGATGTAGCGTCAGAGCAGAGTCCGTCGAGCCGGCCAGCTGCTCCAGGAGACACTGAACGTGCGCCCTCTGCTGCTGTCTGCCAGCACACACAGACAGACAAACAGTAAATACGCCATCAGACACACAGACACAGACAGCAAATCAGCAGACACTGCACGTGCGCCCTCTGCTGCTGTCTGCCAGCACACACAGACATACACTAAGTGAATACACCATCAGACACACGACAGTCAGCCCATCAGCAAACACTGCACGTGCGCCCTCTGCTGCTGTCTGCCAGCACACATACAGACACACGGACACAGTCAGCACATACAGACACACAGACACACAGACACAGTCAGCACACCACACTCCGGTAGGTAGGCACCTAACGTAAAAACCCTGCGTACCTTCAATGTATCCGAAGGGTGGGACTTTTCAATAGCAAAAAACACTATTCTTTAGAAATGTGATTTTCTATTGAAAATCCCAACCTGATATTGTGATCTGTAACCGCTCCTCACTCAGTCTGTGCGCTCAACTATCAAGGACACAACACGGCTCCCAATCCCAGCGATACACCAGCGTGTCTCCCTGCTATTCCCCCAGCACACCCGGCTCACCGGTCCTTTTTGCGGTCCTGTTTCTTCAGCATGACGCCGCAGGTGGCCAGCGCCGGCTCGAGCGCCGCGTCAAAGTCGCTCAGCTCGGCGGCCGTCAGCGCCTTGTGCAGCTTCAGCAGGTCGGGCGCCATGTCCTGCGGCAGCTTGTTGAGGATCTTCACTCGGGCCTGGCCACAGAGGAGGACGGGTCAGCCACTGCTGGGTACCGAGGGACCGGTGGGATAACGCATAGCCCCACAGCCGCGCACCGGACCACTACAGATCCCGACTGGTACCACACTGACGTGGCGGTGAGTCTATGGACCGTCTCTTGAGCGTTACATAGGCACTGGTCCCACTGTCTTCCGCCGCACTGCCGCCGGACCGGTGCGGTCGCTTACCTCTGCCGACAGCTCCTTGTTCTCGTCATACTGGACGTTGTTGTCGGCGGCGGCGTGTTGAAACAGCTCGTTCACCAGCTCTGTGCACAGGGTGCGCTGCAGGTGCTTCAGCAGCTGGGCACTCGTGTCGGGCGCGAACTGGAACCGCCACAGTGCCGGGAGTCAGTGGGTGATCAGACACCCCGGATTGAGACAGTACCATAAGGCAGTCGGACAGTGACAAAACATTGCGGATTGAAAACACGGATGGAAGCTAGTGATTGGCCAGACACCACAAACTGATAGCGGAACGATAACCGACTACCTACCAACGGACCATGAACCTGTCGGTTCCAGAGATACCAAACCGCCCCTCCCCTCTCCTCCATCCGCCCCAACTCACGTCGGCGGCGCCCTTCTGAAACAGCCGAATGTTGAGCGCCATACAGGCCACCTTATCCTGGAAGTCGCCAAAGTTCCTGCGCCGGGCCTGGCCGGCGTTGGCGAGCACGGCCTGGTGTTCCACCATCAGGACCTCCTGGTACTTCTTGGTCAGAGGCCTGCCGCGGCGAAAACGGTAAGGGGAGGCGTCAGTTATAGGTAGGACAGAGAGATTGGTACGTCAGTAGGCACATACTGGCATTTCTTGGTCAGAGGCCTGTCGAGTGTCGCGGCGACAGCGGTGAGGGAAGATGTCGAAGGCATGCTCGTCTTTACGAAGATACAAACAATTGTCCACCGCTGGAGACCGCCGACAATGACAAGTGAACAGGGACGGACACCTGACTGCGCGTCCCGCCGTGAGACAGCCACTGATACCAGCAGCTGCAGCAGCCCGCTCACGTCCGTGTCGTTTCACTATGACACCAGCCCGGCCCGGCGGCCGGCTCACCTGTACAGGAAGCGGGCGATGTCGGGCGCCAGCTCCTCGGGGGCGTCCTCCAGCGCCGGGTGGGCGGCCAGACTCTCCTCCAGCTCGGCCACGCTGAGGAACGGCAGCTCGCGGCCGTCCTGAGGCGCAGACACACAGTCTCAGAGGATAACACACAGTCGTACTACACCCTCACCCACAGGGCACAGCACCCTCAGTGGAACACCCGGCGGCGGCACCCTGGGTTCAGCTCCCATCCATTACCCATCTCCGGCGGCGGTTCCACCCCAGTTCCCGGTCCCCAGTCCGGCGGGCTCCCTCCCCGCGCCCACCTCCGCCGCCGGCCGCTCGTCCTCCGAGTCGGACTCGTGGCCCTTCTTCATGTACTTCTTCTTGGTGGACTTGGTCTTGGTCTCGCGGCCCTGGGTGCCGCCGCCGGCCTTTCCGCCGGCCGCCTTCTTGCGCCGGTCGTCCTTTCGGTCCCGTTTGGTGTCGTCCGTGTCCCTGATCCGGTTCGAGGTGGTCGTCTGCTTGGGCGGGTACCGGCCCGACTCGATGTCCTGGAGGCACCGACAGGCGGCGACCGTCAGTCAACCAGGCGCGGCTCAGAGTGACGACACGGACCGAGACAACCAGGCACGGCTCAGAGTGACGACACGGACCGAGACAACCAGGCACGGCTCAGAGTGACACGGACCCAGACCACCAGGCACGGCTCAGAGTGACACGGACCGAGACAACCAGGCACGGCTCAGAGTGACAACACGGATCGAGACAACCAGGCACGGCTCAGAGTGACGACACGGACCGAGACAACCAGGCACGGCTCAGAGTGACGACACGGACCGAGACAACCAGGCACGGCTCAGAGTGAGCACGGACCGAGACCACCACCCGCAGACAGGGCTCTCAGACATGTCACACCATTACTGAGACAAAAAGACACGGCTGAGGGCGCCCCGGCCGGCCTGGGCAGCCCACCTGTTTGGCGCGGCCGGCCATGGCGTCCTCCAGCGGCTGACGCAGCTGGTCCAGCAGCCGCTCGCTGACCACCACGGAGTCGGCGAACACGTGGCCGGCGCGGCAGCTCTCCAGCAGCTGGCCGACGTCCTCCGCCGACAGGCTGGCCGGCAGCAGCGGCACCACGTCCACGAAGCTGCCCGCCAGCGCCGCCTCCTCCAGCGACACCTGGCGGTCCGGCGGCGGGAGCGAGTCAGGAGCCGCGGACTCAGAGACAAGGGCAGGAGCCGCGGACTCAGCGGCGGGCGGGAGTCAGAAACCGCGGGCTCAGGGACGCGGGGTCAGACCCGAACAACACGGGTGAGGGGAGCACAGGGGAGCACACGGACGGGCAGAGGCGCGGCCTGCCGAGTACCGATGGGGATGGCTCTATCCATAGACAGCGCAGATGGCCACCTGACCACAATCGTACGGCACTGCCAACGATCCACCCGTGCCATCGTCCCGTGTAGCTGACAATGACATGCCTCACCATCCTGTGTCACTGACCTTGACCTATTATACCAGGGTGTCAGTGTGTCACTGACCTTGACCTGTTCGATCAGGGTGTCAGTGTGTCACTGACCTTGACCTGTTCGACCAGTGTGTCGCCCACGGCGCAGTTAGACAGGTAGCGCAGCGGCTCGTCCTTGAAGCGACGTTTGATGAACGCCTCTGGGTCGGTGATGCCGACCCTGCGCAGAGCCTCGTACTCTGAGGACGGACATCGCTGTGTCAGTTAAACTATACAGGTGACACAGCCTCGTACTCTGGGGACGGACATCGCTGTGTCAGATACACAAGTGACAGAGCCTCGTACTCTGGGAGAGGACACCGCAGTGTCACTTACACAGGTGACAGAGCCTCGTACTCTAAGGACGGGAGGGGTGACAGAGCCTCGTACTCTGGGGATGTAATGAGGGCAGGTGAAGGGGACGCGGGAGCAAACCTCCCGTACTAACGGTCTAGTTAACCGTTCCGATGTTACTCGGTTTGGTCGAGGTATGAAGTTATAACGGAAGCAATGGCCGATACAGCCGGCCTGGCGGTACTGTCGGGGTGGGGTGGGGTTCAGTTTATAGCTGTGATCCACAGCTGACCGATACAGCCGTTCTGGCGGTACTGTTTGGGTAAGGCACGGTAGCTACAGCTGCCCCACTAACCAATGCAGCCGTTCTGGCGGTACTGGTGGTCGACGAACGCGTTCTGGGCGCTCGTGTAGCACTCGGGGATGAAGACGGCGCGCACGGCCGTCCGGCCGCCGGTCAGGGAGCCCTTCAGGCGGCCCGACGAGAGCAGGTCGCTCACCACACCTGGGGAGGCAGCAGAGGAGGCGCATATTCAGCACACCACACCTGGAGCAGATGCAGAGCTGATCACGTCGAAACACCGCGCTCGGTAAAAACAACACGGTGGGCAAAACCGCTGCAGTGGTTCAGAAAACAAACCCATTTATAGCAATACGCATGTTAAGTGTAAGGATAAAAATACCAATTAATAGCTAAATATTGACAAAAAAATTGGTCATACCCGTTAAATTAAATCACCCGCCTAAGCTGTCTCGATATTTCAGCAGCGCATCATGACTCCCCAGTCGCCACTACGTCAGCCCGGGCCCCGGCGGAGGTGGTGGGTGTCGGCGCACTGACTGAAGAAGAGCTGCTCCTTGATGTTGTGCCGCTGCAGCAGCTGCAGCACCGTCACCGGCCGCGTGATGGCCGACAGGGCGCCGCGCACCCGCGCCCAGTTCTGCGCCACGAACGCCTCGGTGAAGAGCGTGCGCCGGTCGTCCGGGTCCGGCTGGCCGCGGATGATGGAGCCCGTCCGGCGCAGCAGCTCCTGGGGGAGAGGGGACGGTGGGGGTGAGTGGGGACCGCAGCTGCTCGTCCGGCGCAGCAGCTCCTGAAGGAGGGGGAGGGGAGTGGGAGCCGCAGCCCGTCCATCGCAGCAGCTCCTGGGGGAGGGGGGTGAGTGCGGCGCAGCAGCTCCTGGGGGGAGGGGGGGGGGGTGAGTGGGGCCGCAGCCGTCCGGCGCAGCAGCTCCTGGGGGAGGGGGGGTGAGTGGGGGCCGCAGCCCGTGCGGCGCAGCAGCTCCTGGGGGGGGGGGGGGTGAGTGGGAGCAGCAGCTCCTGGGGGGGGGGGGAGTGGGAGCAGCAGCTCCTGGGGGAGGGGAGGGGGGTGAGTGGGGACCGCAGCCCGTCCAGCGCAGCAGCTCCTGGGGGGAGGGGGGGGGGGGGGTGAGTCCGGCGCAGCAGCTCCTGGGGGGAGGGGGGAGTCCGGCGCAGCAGCTCCTGGGGGACGGGGAGGGGGGTGAGTGGGGACCGCAGCCCGTCCAGCGCAGCAGCTCCTGGGGGGAGGGGGGGGGGGTGAGTCCGGCGCAGCAGCTCCTGGGGGGAGGGGGGGGAGTCCGGCGCAGCAGCTCCTGGGGGGAGGGAGGGGGGGGGTGAGTCCGGCGCAGCAGCTCCTGGGAGAGGGGGGAAGGGGGGGACCGCAGCAGCTTCTGGGCAGTGTTGACTGTTGGCATTGCGAATTTTGGCCCTGGTCACGGAGAATAAAAACTGTCCGGAGAACCGGCTAGCTTTTAGAACACTCAACAGGAAAATAATATGTTTGGCATACTGTGACAGCTGATAAAATGTGTTCTTTCAATGCTATAACTGCATGTTTTATGCGTAATAATAGCAGCTTTCATCACACAGGCTGGATATTTAAGATATTTCAGGTGCCGGAGTATAAATTTGTAAAGGAGAACAAAATCGTTTGGACCCGACTGGGACCAGCAAATGGCCACATTTCCAACAACGCTCCTGGGAGAGGGGAGGGGAGGGGAGGGAGGGTGATTGGGGACGGCAGCCGTCCGGCGCCGCAGCTCCTGGGGAGGGGAGGGGAGGGGGACTGCAGCAGCTCTTGGCCCCTGGGAGAGGGGAGGGGAGGGAGGGTGATTGGGGACGGCAGCACGTCCGGCCCCTGGGGGAGGGGAGGGAGGGTGATTGGGGACGGCAGCCGTCCGGCGCCGCAGCTCCTGCTAGGGCCATGAGGAGAGACGGACGGAGGTGAGACACCGCTCGCGGCTGACGGAGGCGACTCTCTCTCGTCCCTGGCCTCTCAGCATCCTCTCGAGGAGCCCGGACGTCACTCACCCGCTCGAGGAACTCGGACGGCAGGTCGTACTGCGTGGTCAGTGCGCCGATCGAGATCTCGCCGACCTGCTGCAGCTTCTCATTCACCTCCTCGGCGATACAGTCTGTCGACACACGGCCGTGCGAAAATCAGCCGCTGTATGCAGCTCCGGCTGGACGGTACGCGTGGGACTTAGCCTATAGTTTAGTGACCGGAAGAAATTGCTGTTCAGGAGTCAGTGACATTAGATAGAGTACCGAACAGTCTCAGTCACAACCGCTCCGATGACGGACCGTTGATATGCGGTACCATTGACATGCAGCATTACATATTCGCCCACCAACTGCCACGATCAAAACAGATCTCTGAAAACCTCCAAAGAGGCAGACAGGTGAGCGAGTTCAGAAGTGTAATATCCGGACGCACCAGCCCGCCACCGATCTAGATAGAGGTCGCGCGTCAGCCAGCCACCCACCTAGGTAGACGTTGTTGATGACATATCCATTCACCAGGAAGATGGTCTTCTCCTCGTTCACCAGTTTCTGCACGCGCGCCTCCACGTGGGAAAAGTCCACATTGAGCGTCTGCGACAGCTCCGGTAGGCCGATACGACCTTCGAACACACGGCGGCGCCCGTTTGAACACCAGCGAGCGGAGCGGGACGGGAGACGACGGTACTCGGTAACAGTTGAGACGGGGGTGGGGCTGGAGACGACAGTGCACTGAATTAGCAGCAAAGGCAGGGGCTGGAGCCGACTGCATAAAGCAATGAGTAAATGCAACAGAGAAGGTCTGGGAGCGACGGTAGTTACTCATTTTAACAACAGCAGAAGTGGAGTCTTGATGCAGGACCACTCACTTCCCCCGACCTATCCTGTCGCCTATTCAATCCTTACCTTCACCGACAATCAGCTCATCCCTGATCCCGTCCTTAATGTAACTGACAAGCAGCCCGCCTCACCGCCGCTGACGATCAGCTCGTGATCCCGTCCTACCGCCGCTTACAACCCAGCTCGTGATCTCGTCCTTACCGCCGCTGACGATCAGCTTGTGATCTCGTCCTTACCGCCGCTGACGATCAGCTCGTGATCTGGTCCTTACCGCCGCTGACGATCAGCTCGTGATCTCGTCCTTACCGCCGCTGACGATCAGCTTGTGATCTCGTCCTTACCGCCGCTGACGATCAGCTCGTGATCTGGTCCTTACCGCCGCTGACGATCAGCTCGTGATCTGGTCCTTACCGCCGCTGACGATCAGCTCGTCCCTGATCTCTCGCGAGATCTGCTCGGGCGTGATGTACTCCTTTCCGGTGCTGGTGTGCACCACATCGAGCAGGCCGAGCTCCACCAGCTTGGTGACGATCTCGATACAGTTGCGCTCCGACAGCCTGCGGGCCGGCCGCCGCGCCGCGCGTCAGAAACGGGCCACACCGAACAGCGGAACGAGACTGCACACGGCCGATGTCACGGTGTGAGCGAGTACCTACTAACTACTGACTTCTGCAGTAATGAACTACGTGCTAGTGTGGCACTGATCTCTGTGAGTTGTGACAGTGTGGCACTGATCTCTGTGAGTTGTGACAGTGTGGCACTGATCTCTGTGAGTTGTGACAGTGTGGCACTGATCTCTGTGAGTTGTGACAGTGTGGTACTGATCTCTGTGAGTTGTGACAGTGTGGCACTGATCTCTGTGAGTTGTGACAGTGTGGCACTGATCTCTGTGAGTTGTGACAGTGTGGCACTGATCTCTGTGAGTTGTGACAGTGTGGCACTGATCTCTGTGAGTTGTGACAGTGTGGAACTGATCTCTGTGAGTTGTGACAGTGTGGCACTGATCTCTGTGAGTTGTGACAGTGTGGTACTGATCTCTGTGAGTTGTGACAGTGTGGCACTGATCTCTGTGAGTTGTGACAGTGTGGCACTGATCTCTGTGAGTTGTGACAGTGTGGCACTGATCTCTGTGAGTTGTGACAGTGTGGCACTGATCTCTGTGAGTTGTGACAGTGTGGCACTGATCTCTGTGAGTTGTGACAGTGTGGCACTGATCTCTGTGAGTTGTGACAGTGTGGCACTGATCTCTGTGAGTTGTGACAGTGTGGCACTGATCTCTGTGAGTTGTGACAGTGTAGTACTGATCTCTGTGAGTTGTGACAGTGTAGTACTGATCTCTGTGATAGCGTGGCACTGACTGACCTTTATGATAGTGTGGCACTGGCCTTTATGATAGAGTGGTCAGTGGTAGTGACCTCTGCGGTACCGACCTCTGTGGTGGTGTGGTACCTACCTCTGTGCTGTGGAGAGCAGCTGGGCACGCTGCAAATCAGCAGCTAGACGCTTGATTTCATCCCAGTCGGAGCCCATTGTCTAAGCAGAACAGCCTGCAATGCAGAAATAGGTATGCTGTTAACTACAAAAGAAACAATAATAATGGCACATTCGCTAGCTTTATTTCAGTCTCTTTATGCTCAGTGAGTATCAGCCCTTGGCTTAGAACCAGGCTTTTTGGACGACCAATGAGCAAGAGCAATACTGAGACCGCACTTAATCATAGGCAAACTGAGACCCTGACTACCTTGTCTGGCATTATATATTATGTCTCCTAAGTTATTTATTGGCAATAACTCCAAATCAAATTGGGCTAGTGAGTACCTAGCAGTCAGAAAGACCACCAGGCATCAATGGACTAAGACAGATCTGCCAAATCAAATGATATAAATATGCAGGATGATCCCTTGGCTCCTTCAACCAGCTTCATGATCTGAGCTGATCTGAGCAGTTTTGGCCTGACACAATCAAATTTTTACAAAAATTGCAATTTGGCTCTCATTATCACAGACTCACCTCTCTGCAAACCCTAATAGGAATTAGGAAACCTGTAACTTAAGCACCTAAGATTTCTTTGCAACTCTAGCCCTGGTTGGAATCGGCAGCTGTGCTGCCATCAGCACTAAGCTGAGATCCAAGACCCTGATTGGTCGAGATATAGATGATGTATTACAACTTCACGCACTGTGACGTCAGACCTCCGCTGACAGCCGGCAATTCAGCTGCTGGGCCTGGGAGAGGGCAGCAGCATGTTTACTGAAATTCAAAATGGCTTGAAAACAGCGCATGCAAGTCAAAGCGAAGCTGGTTAGGTAGGTAGTGTTGTTTATTCCATGTTTTCTTCACATATTGTATTTAATATTTCACATGAATAGCAGTTATTTTTTCATGGTGCAATTGCGAGTTAGCCTGAAAACAGTACCTACCTATAATTTGAAGTGCCAACACCACCCCAATTATCTATCCTGTAACTTGTTGCTATAGCCTCAGAAAATAAACCTCAGAAATGTAATGCAACCGAAGATAGGTAGTACCGTAAAATGGGGTGTTAAGGGACAGTTGCATGGGAAAAACTTTGAGTCATATTGACTTCCTAATTTGAGAAGGTTCAATAAAAACTTCAGTGTGGTAGTTGACACTGTTTTGCTCTTGACCATAGGAGAAAATGGTATGGTTTTTCATGCAAGTGATTTGGTTCAAAAATGGATTTGAAAATCATGTACATTTTCACAAAATTGAAACATCTCCAAAACTCTGTGTGTACCACATAAACTAGTGGGTGTACAGGGAAAATGAATGCATAGGTGTATTGTCACATGTATTGCACATGTTTCCTGAAAAACTTGTGCAAATCCACCCATTCATTCATCATCCTCTTCCTCTTTTCCTGATACATGCATATTTTGAGGTGGATGTGGGGTGCTAAGGGACAGGGAAGAAAAAATAAAAAATAAAATCTAAATATAATTTAATTAAGTAGGCATGGAAAACACCAAATTCCACATAAAATGCTGGCAAGTTCATGCTTTTATCTCTAACACATCTTAAGTTATGTAACAAAATATCTCAACACTCTCTTTTACAATGATGGGTCAATGGAGACTGATGTAGGTAAATGTGATATCATCATAAAAAGGCTAAAACAAAGAGGGCAACATGCTGACAAGTGACTAGCTTCAACATGGGTTTTTTGTTGGCGACGCTTTCGTTCGAATCTCCTTTCATGGTGTGGACTGTATTTAATCGCGCATCGCACAGCATTTGGTTGTTTGGTGACCGAGATCCAGGAGGAAAATGGTTTAATTGGAAAATTGGGAAAATAAATGTTATACTACCTATCACGTTAGCCTAGTTAAGATACAACTAAATATTGGATACAGGATAGAGCGCCGGATGCCGACGACTAAGGAACCTCCTTCTTAGGAAGTATATTTGGACCTAATAAAAGAGCGCCGGATACCGACGGCAAAGGAACCCCCTTCTTAGGGCGTATGTTAGGGCCTAAATAAGAGAGCGCCGGATGCCGACGTCAAAGGAACCCCCTTCTTAGGGAGTATGTTAGGGCCTAAAATATGAGAGCGCCGGATACCGACGTCAAAGGAACCCCCTTCTTAGGGAGTATGTTAGGGCCTAAAATATGAGAGCGCCGGATGCCGACGACAAAGGAACCCCCTTCTTAGAGAGTTTTAGGAATGTTTTAGGATGAAAAAAGGATAGTCAGTAGACCTGGTCACCGGAACCGATACGCCTGCCGCATCTCCGTCGAATATCTCATCTGTGTGTAGACCGCGCACTGTTTCACTTCTCACTCGGGCTTCTCACACACTTTGTCTTCTAGTTCACTATATTTGGCGGACAAGGCAGCGAAACGTACCGGGAAGAGAGCTGGGGGCAGCGCAGTGTCCCCGTCGAAGTCGAAAGGTGAAGTGAGGCCGGGGGTGTTTACAACTAGTTTATATACGGCGAAAGGGGGTGAAACAAGACGCGTTGAGGACAGTCAGAGCACACAGAAAAGGCTAAAAATGGCCCGGGCGTCCGGCGCTCCACCCGGAAGACACACACGCCGGGCGCGCACGTGCGTGCCCCACACAATGGCCCGGACCTGGGCCGGTCCTACGCAAACAGGGAGCCGCCCTGCCGCGCCGGCCGGCCAGCCGGGTCAGAGGGGACGCCAGCGTCCCGCGACCGCGGACGGCGCTCGGCTCGGCGGCGCGGCGGCGGTTCGGCTCAGCAGCGCTGAGTCTCTTGCCCGTACCGCCTTGCATAGGTGCAATTTGTCGGCAACATCACTCCCCCCTGTGTTCGGCTTCACTACGAACGTCGAACACATACATATGACCGACAAATTGAACGGCGCAAACGAACCGTCAAGCAAGGTGATCACCGAAACAAGCGCGGGTACCTATCATTTCCAAACTTCATGTTCATACAAGTGAAAACACGCACAGCATACCAGCAAGGTGCAGACAGTGGAACGAGATACAGCAGCCCTTACACTCGCGCGTGGAAACGGGTTACCTTTACACAGCCCTGAACTCAGACCCAGGTCCCTATCAGGAAGGCGCAAAACTACCAGTGCTGGCGCGAGCGTCAGTGGGCGGGGGCCGTCAAGCCATACGCACAATGGAAATGACGGACGACTGCTGAATACCCTCGCCGAGAAAAACACCGTTGGACAGGGTAGCACCGGCCATGGGGGGCTGGACGTTTGGTACCTCAGTATATGACCGCAGCAGGCAGTGATCAGTTGTCCACGGGACGCAGCCATGAGCGCTGCGTGTTCAGCTCCTCCCGGGCGGCGCTCAGTTCGCGGGCACCACGGACAGCAGGTCCTGGTTGCGTGCCTGGAGCTCCTCTTTGCCCCAGAAGGTGACGAGACGCTGGGCGATCATCCGTCCGGCGGACGTATCCAGCTCGAGCTCGTCCCGGGGTGTGGTGACGACCGCCGCGCGCCTTCTCCACCTCCTTCAGCGGCACGCAAACCTGCATTGCCAGGTCCTCTGTCTGGGCGACCAGTCGGTCCCTCTTGTGTTGTACGGTACGCAGTCGCCGGCGGGCGTCGTCAGGCTTGGCGTGTGCCGTCTCCAGCTCCCGTAATGCCTCGTCATTGTTGCCTGTGGGATAGTCGATCGTCTGCACCGCCGCCTCATAATCCTCGCGCTGTCTCTGGATGGCCGGCGTCCACTTATCAATGTCCTTCAGGATCTGGTCGAGGCACAGTTTGAACTGCTTGCTCTCGGCCTCTGTGGCCGTCAGCTGCTCCTTGGCCTGACTGAACCCGGTGAAGATCTGTGTGAGCGTCATGCCCTGCCACAGGAGCCGGCTGACGGCGGCGGCGGACGGTGACGTGGCCTCCACCGCCTCGTCTGAAAGGCTACCTTTGTGGGTGATTGCCTGCAGCTGCTCCTCGTAAGTCTCCAGCCGGTCGCGCAGCTGGAGGATCACCTTGTCGCGCTCCACCAGGTACTGGCCGTGCTGGGTGTGCGTCTCGTCCAGATGCACCTCCAGCTGGCTTTGCTGCTCGCTGGCCGAGCTCAGCAGTGACCGCAGCTCGTCCACCGAGCGCAGCATCTCATTCGACCTGGCCTCCGCCTTCTCGACGCCCTCTTTGTAGGGCTGCGCCAGCCGCTCCTGTGACCGCAGCTGCTGTCGATAGTTTTCCTCCTGCTCGATCTCGGCCTCACGCTGCAGCCGGGGCTTCTCCACCAGTTCGGTGAGCTGCTGCTCCAGGTCGGCCGCCTGCTGTGTCAGCCGTTCCTTTTCCGCCTGCTCCGTCCCCAGCTGGTCCATCTTGTTGGCAAGGTTGGTCTGCAGCTGGAGGATCCGCGAGCTGTGCTGGCGGCGCAACGTGGACAGCTCCTCTGCTTGCAACTTCAGGCTCTCCTGCAGCAGAGACATCTGCTTCTCCAGCACCTCCTTCTCACTCGCCATCTTCCTCTCTCTGTACTGGAAACTGATCTCCTTGGCGGCAATTTCCCCCACCTGTGCCAGTGCCCGACACTTGGCCGCATTAGCTGCAGCCAGTTCAGCTCCCCAGTCTTCAAGCTCAGCCGTCAGCCGGGCCACCTCAGTAGCGCGCCGCTCCAGCTGCTGTACCAGGCTCGCCTTGTCCGAGAGCACCTGGTCGCGCTCCCGACAGGCGGCCAGCTCAGCGGCCAACGCCCTGGTGAGGCCGGCATCTGCCTTCCTGTAGTCTGCGGTGGCCGTGGTCCGCTGCTCCTGGAGTCTGACAGCTGCCTGCTGCTGCTCCTCCAACTGGCTGGACTGCTTCTGCAGCTCCTGCTGGGCCTCCTGCAACTGCTGGCCCAGCTCAAACTCATTCTGCTCTCTGAGTGCGTCTGCTGAAACAGCAGCGACCGATACATGTTTCTCGGCGACGTAGGAGTTGATGATGACCTGGTACTTCCCTGCGACCTGTGGAAGCTTTTCGAGCTTTCTCTCTGTTGTCTGTAGTCGCTGAACAGCCAGTCGCTTGTTGTTGGGAAGTGTAGGACTTGTCTCCTTCCACAGCAGACTGGTCTCGTATCGCTCTCCACTTTTGGTCGTGTTTCTTTCCAGCACCTGGAGTACTTTCTTATCCATCTCCGATCGTGACGTCGTTTCACTGTGCTTTGTTCCAGATGCTTCTGTAGACCACCATTCGTTGACGGCAGCGCACAGCTCTACTTCGCTCTCACTCGATTGACGTCTCAGAAACATGACCCGGCGCCTGCTACTGGGCACGATGTCAGACACGCAGCCCGTCAGGGTCCACCCTAGGTCTGTCTTCACAGCGGCCGGTTGATTCGGACGTCCCACACGCACCTCCTTCTGCAGCACTGCTTCAAGGACGTTTGCACCAATCAACAGCTTCACCTGGCCGCCATTATATTGCGGGAACTCCAGATCCCGAAGGTGCTCAAACCTCTGAAGCTGACTCTTCGTCATTGAAGTCGCAGTCACATTCAGCGCTGGCACAGACCACACTTCAGGAATGTTGATGCACTTCTTTGCCCCTGTGCCAAGGGGGCTGATCTTCAGTTTCACTCTCTCGGACGGACGCTGAGTGCCACTGGTCTCCACGTTTTGTATGCAGAGCGGGTGTCGCTCCCCGGCAACGCCCAGCTCCTCCAGAACATCCTCACGACACAGTGATGTCTGAGCTCCAGCATCCAGGAGTGCCAGAACGTCTGTCGAACCACGGGGCCCGTGAACCCGCACAGCAACAATCTGTAGCAGTGTGTCTGTGTCTGTCTTTACCGAGGCCGCTACAAACGGCTGGTTCCCGGAACTACCTTCAGCTGAAGATTCAGGCGCTCCCGTGGTTGTCCCTGCTGACGACTGATCCCTCCTCGAGTTGCTCTGATCGGTTCCTGACCGACTTGATCCGCGGTGGAGAAGCGGATGGTGCGTGAGCTTGCATCCCTTCACATTGCACCGCCGAGACACTTTGCAGCTTCTGCTCCAGTGGCCCTTCTTGAGGCATGAAAAGCAAAGACCTTCTTCATAGGCAACAGCGCTTCTTGCGTCTGGGGTCTTGGCCTTGAATTCTGAGCAGTCGCTCAGCCTGTGGTTACTGCTGCACACCACGCACACTGGCAGAGAGCGGGCCTCTGGTTCGGTTTCACCATTAGCTCCTGTCGCCAGCGCTGTTCGCCGAACAGGGCCGTCCCTTGAAGCAACTGTTGCACGTTTCCGTTCCGATGTTGAAGTCCCGGACTGGACAGCAGAGAAGCTCAGGATGCTGACTTGGACTTGGAGCCACTCGGTGAATGTCTCCAGAGTCGGTCTCGTCGGTCGCAGCCGGAACACTTCACGGCCCCACTGTCGGGCTAGTTCGCTCGGCAGCTTTTCGACCACTCTTCTCAAGTTTTCACTGCTTGACAGGTCACTCGCATAGCCGAGATTTCGCAGGACGGTGACTGTGTTATGGACGACCGCATAAAACTTCTCCATCGCTGGGAGGTCCATTAGTGACGGTGGCGAGGTCATGAACACATTTCGCAGGTGGGCCTGGATGATGTCTTCCTCTCGTCCGAACCTATCTTGCAAGGTTTTCAAGGCCTCGTGATACAAGTCACCGTTGAATAACATGCCGTCAATGGCCTGGGCCGCGGCCCCTTCCACCGCGTTTTGAAGATGAGCCATGCGCTCAGCATCCGACAGGGATGGCTGATCATGCACCAATGCTTTGAAAAGACCAATCCAGCGCGGCCACTCACGTGCATTTCCACGGAACGTTGGCAGAGTCAGTCGCGGTATGCTTTTTACGAACGCTGATGGTCCTGCCAGGTCATTACGTCGGGGTGAGGCCGGCGTTGCGATCCAGCTGGCACGAGCCAGTCCGTCATTCTTGAGCACCCCATTCTCACCTTGAGGAACACCGACAGCTCTGGGTGATGACGAGATGCAGCGGGAAACTTCGCCACCATTGGATGCCGGCCGCTGCTCACCTGACGTATCACGGACGGCTCTCGATATATCGCATTGCTCAGGCTCCACCTCCACTGGGATTTCGTCATCAAAGTCGTTTCTCCGCTCCCATTCAAGGTCATTTTCTGCAGCCCTCAGAAGTCTTGCCCTCTGCTGCGCTCGTTCCACCTCCTCTTCTAACTCCTTTTCCTCCATCATCTTCTTCTCTTCTTCCATCCTGTCTTCTTCTCTTCTCCTCTGAGCTGTTCTTTCTGCTTCCTGGTTTCTCAGCTGCCTTTCTCTGTCTTGCCTGGCTTTCAAATGCTTCAGCTCCAGGCTTCTCATCTCTGCCGTTATTACAGCTTCCCTGGACGCCGCTCTGGAGACCCCTGAAACACGGGATCCGTTCGCTCTACTCCCCCCGTGATGCAACTTTGATGGTGGTGGTCTGTCATCTGCTTGCGACGCCGCGCAGCAGCTCACTGGTCGGTGCGTAGTCGCCTCTTCAATTCTTTTCACCGTCTCGGCGTACCGTGCCGTCAGTCGGGTGGCGTACTCTTCCGCTTCTTCCAGTTCGCAGACCTCCTGCACCTTCTCAACATAGGTGTCATTGGCCTCCATGAAACCATCCAGTGTCGCATTCAGGGTTTCGAGCCGCTTCTTTAGTTCTTCCTCGCTAGCTCGGCGCGCGATCTGAGCCTCCGCCGTGTTACAGGCACGAGTAAACGCGGCGGCCTTGCGCCCGCGCTGAAGTTTCAGGTGCTTCAACACGCATGCAGTGTCTCCAGCTTCCTCGCCGGCAGTGTCCTGACTCACCGTCGCCGTCTCTGTGTTCTCCGCCTGAGTCGAATCTTCCATCATCGGAATTTTCTTCTCGATCCGACTGGCACACACGAGGCACAGCTTGTAACCTACAATCAATCCCTAAGTCGGCGACGGGCAGCCACGAAGGTCATCAGTTCTCACTTCAGGCCAGGACCATCCGGCCCGGAGGACCAGAAAATGTTGGCGACGCTTTCGTTCGAATCTCCTTTCATGGTGTGGACTGTATTTAATCGCGCATCGCACAGCATTTGGTTGTTTGGTGACCGAGATCCAGGAGGAAAATGGTTTAATTGGAAAATTGGGAAAATAAATGTTATAACCTATCACGTTAGCCTAGTTAAGATACAACTAAATATTGGATACAGGATAGAGCGCCGGATGCCGACGACTAAGGAACCTCCTTCTTAGGAAGTATATTTGGACCTAATAAAAGAGCGCCGGATACCGACGGCAAAGGAACCCCCTTCTTAGGGCGTATGTTAGGGCCTAAATAAGAGAGCGCCGGATGCCGACGTCAAAGGAACCCCCTTCTTAGGGAGTATGTTAGGGCCTAAAATATGAGAGCGCCGGATACCGACGTCAAAGGAACCCCCTTCTTAGGGAGTATGTTAGGGCCTAAAATATGAGAGCGCCGGATGCCGACGACAAAGGAACCCCCTTCTTAGGGAGTATGTTAGGGCCTAAAATATGAGAGTGCCGGATGCCGACGACAAAGGAACCCCCTTCTTAGAGAGTTTTAGGAATGTTTTAGGATGAAAAAAGGATAGTCAGTAGACCTGGTCACCGGAACCGATACGCCTGCCGCATCTCCGTCGAATATCTCATCTGTGTGTAGACCGCGCACTGTTTCACTTCTCACTCGGGCTTCTCACACACTTTGTCTTCTAGTTCACTATATTTCAAGGCAGCGAAACGTACCGGGAAGAGAGCGGGGCAGCGCAGTGTCCCCGTCGAAGTCGAAAGGTGAAGTGAGGCCGGGGGTGTTTACAACTAGTTTATATACGGCGACAGGGGGGTGAAAACAAGACGCGTTGAGGACGGTCAGAGCACACAGAAAAGGCTAAAAATGGCCCGGGCGTCCAGCGCTCCACCCGGAAGACACACACGCTGGGCGCGCACGTGCGTGCCCCACACAATGGTCCGGACCTGGGCCGGTCCTACGCAAACAGGGAGCCGCCCTGCCGTGCCGGCCGGCCAGCCGGGTCAGAGGGGACGCCAGCGTCCCGCGACCGCGGACGGCGCTCGGCTCGGCGGCGCGGCGGCGGTTCGGCTCGGCAGCGCCGAGTCTCTCGCCCGTACCGCCTTGCATAGGTGCAATTTGTCGGCAACAGTTTTTATTGATGACAGAATATTACTTTTTGGTTCTGTTTACCTTTATAATTAGCACATTTTCCACAAGCGTAAACTGCATTACACGTAATTGGCTAAAAAGGTCATTAGTGGTGAATGAACCTGACTTGTTTTGTGACAGAATATGCAAAACATTTCAATAAATAAATTGTGTGCCCTTCCACACCCCAATTGTGGCCATTTGATGACCATTTCTTGGAATAATATAGGTGTCCCTTAACACCCCACATTGGGGTGCTAAGGGACAGTGATGAAAAATAATGAAAAATTATATTCAGGTATAAATCTTAAAAACTTAAATGTGGCAGGCATGTAAAGCACCAAATTCCACATAAAATGCTGACAATTTGATGCTTCTATCTCCAACCCTCCTGAGTTATATAACAAAACACCTCAAAACTGTCCCTTAACACCCCATTTTACGGTAGTAAAAAGCATGAAAATGCTCGCTCTCCTCAACCATCTCCAAAGCACCATACTTGAATGGCTGGCATTTCCTGTCAGCCAACTGTGAACAAACTTAGCAGTGTGGTATGGGTGGGGCTCAGGCTTATATATTCTCAGCTGACAAAGTTTGGTATTAGTAGAGCAGACGTCACATGAAGGTTTTCCAACCAAGGAGAGGCTCTATGCCTGGAGGTACTTCATTCTAACAAAACCTAAACAAACCTAACCTAACCTGAACTAACCTAACCTACAACCTACAACCTACAAACCTACAACTCACCTGTTCAACTCACCTGTTTGGGGTTCCCTTGGTCTGAGAGTAGCCAAAATGAATGCAGGGATGGGGAGAAGGGAAGGAACCCGCATAGAAAGAGCTCGCCCGATGGATGAGAACACATCCAAACGGGAAAGTGAGCCTACAAGTACCAAATGAATGAGTTTACAAGAGTGATAAGATACAAACAGCAACATTATAATCGGAACACAGTTAACGGTCATGGGACACAATTCATTTAGATACGCACTAGAGACTAGTATACAAACAGGGTATCAGCCAGCGTCGCAGATAACATGGATTTGAACCTGGTTAAATCTGATTCAGACACTACTTCGTCCGGTAGAGAGTTCCATGGAGTGATACAGCGGACACTAAATGATCTGGCACGTAAATCTGTTTGGGGACGGACGTGTGGCAACTTAAAGCGGTGGCCTCGGGTTCCAGAGGATGGCGAGAGCACGAAAATATCCGAAGGTTTGATTGAACATTTATCATGGAAGAGTTTCCAGCATTGTATCATGTCAGCTCGGAGGAGCCTGCCCTTGGCCGAAAATTGGTTCAGGGCCTTAAGTCGAGAGTGGTAATCTAGGTTGCCGAGACCATGGACGCGCTTCGTCCAACGCCGCTAGACTGACTCGAGGAGCCTTAAGTCACCCACGTATCCGGTGTGCCACACGCAAGAACAGTACTCGATCAAAGGCCTTACGTGCGTGCTGAAGAGTGTCATCATAAAGTCCGGGGACCTGCAAACAGTAGATTTAAGCAGGTTCTGAGTTAGACCCGCGGCTTTTGAAACCGTTGCTGTAATATGATTGTGAAACTCCAAGTCTGAATCAACTACAACGCCAAGGTCGGTGTGGGAGTGGACAACCTGGATTGGGGCATTGGAGATGTGATAACATGGAGGGGGGAGAGCGTGGAATTTCCTGTGAAAACGAAGGACAACACACTTTTTAACATTCAGAGAAAGGCACCAAGACTCAGCAGTGCTCTGCAGCATATCAATGTCACGCTGGCACATCTGTGAATCGAGGTCATAGCTGGCATGCGGGATATGACGAATTTTCATGTACATCTTCAGGTCATCTGCAAAAACCTTGTAACGGCATGACAGGTTGCTAGCAACGTGGTTTACAAATATCAGAAATAGGATGGGTCCCAGAACAGAGCCCTGGGGGACACCACTGGTGACACGGTGAGGGCTGCTCAGCTTTGTCTTCACCTGTACGGCCATTTGTCGGTCAACTAGGAAGTCCTCGATCCATCGGACCAGGCTGTCCTGGATACCAAGGAGACGAAGTTTTGTTAGGAGGATTTGGTGAGAAACGACATCAAACGATTTGGCGAAGTCGAACATCACGACATCAACGACACTTCCACTGTCTACATGCAGAGACACCTCATTGTACACCAGGAGCAGTTGATCCATGGTAGACCTGCCTGCTCGAAATCCGAACTGGTGGTCAGTCAGGATGCCGTTGTCTTCCAGGTAAGCTGAGAGATGACGAACAATGATTCTCTCTAAGCATTTACACGTCACAGAAGTGAGGCTGATCGGTCTGTAGTTGAGTGCGTCGTACCTTGAACCTTTCTTATAAATCGGGACAACTCTCGATGACTTCCACAGAGTTGGGAGTTTGCCTTCTCCGAGGGACCTTTGGAATAGCAGGTAGAGTGGGTAGGCAAGCCCAGTGGCACAGTTCCTGAGAAGCATGGGGTGAAGATCGTCTGAGCCTGCTGCTGAGTTGATGTCCAAGGCCTGTAGCACAGACAGCACATCCTGTGGGTAGATGTCCATGGTTGCCATTTGGCTCGACGCTGTCTGGTGAGCTGTTGGAGGGTTAGAGTGATAGATTGCTTGGTTAGTAGAGAAAACACTGGCAAATGCAGTGGCGAATACTTCTGCCATTACACCAGGATCGTCTGAAAGGCTGCCATCGTCAAGGCGGAGGCCTAACCTAACCTAAAAACCTACAACCTACAAACCTACCCTACCGGCCCCCGCCGAAGTTAGTTGGTAGCACTGCTGCTCCACGGCGTACACTTCCTACCAGCCCATAGGGTTTACATGTTAAATGGCCTGTTTTCGGCGAGCGATATCTCGGTCAACCTTTGAAGGAATCAATGGTTCTTAGTCTCAAATGATAGATCGATGAATTTTCTTTCGACAATTCCTCTACCATTTTTCATGAAACCCAGTCGATCTTCTACGGCGTACAGGGTAAAGATTTCTCTGCACGCCAGCACCCGCGATCCGCCTCTCCGATCGTCGGCGCGCGGTCCTCGGTAGCGCAGTCGGTAGCGTATCGGGCTACGGATCAGAGGGTCGTGAGTTCGAATCCTGGAAGCGCCGCGTGATTTTGGCTAGAATTGGACGATGTAGATTCTTGAATGTTTGCATAATCAATTATTAATAGCTAATTGAATGTATCTGCCCACTAATCGGCCCTTAAAACCTGTTATTTAAGAAATTTAAGAAATGATTGTCACGTGCGCGTCACGACTGCCAACCATAAGCGCTACCATATTCTAGTTTGAACTAACTTTTTACTAGTCCCGACCACATATAGTAGGTTTTCTAGTAGTTATACTAGAAATTCCTACCAAACTTCGTCCTACCCTTCACTCAATATACCCTGTACCCTACCACCTACAAACCTACAGCGCCTCTCCTTGGTTGGAAAACCTTTGTGTGACGTCTGCTCAACTAATGCCCAAAGTTCTGTCAGACGATTCTGACCAGAGTGGTGTTTCACCAGTTTCACCGGCGATAGCAGCACACTGCTATTCCATTTCGCGAGCTTAAGTCACACTCAAGGCCTAGGTCACACTACACCTTTTTGCACTCAAAATAGGCATCTTTTCATTCAATTTCGGCGAATTGCATTCAATTTTAGCGATCTCTCTATTCGAAGCAAATGAGAGCTCGCTAAAATTGAATGCAATTCGCCGAAATTGAATGAAAAGATGCCTATTTTGAGTGCAAAAAGGTGTAGTAGTGTTACAGCCAGTTAGAGAAAGGATGGTAATTTTCTCAGCACTAAAAACCGGTCATTTTGTGGTATTATCGGCAAAACTAGGCATTTCCAGTTAATTTGAGGTATAACAGGGTCATTTAGCACCTAACCAGTTATAACACCTATTTAAGGGACTTAAGCACTACTTTCAGTCTAATTCGCAGTACTTTTAGTTTGAATGGCACCTAATGGTTGTCATTTCGCACTATTTTCGGTAGATGTTTAGGCATCCCTACTAAATCTAGAAGGATTTTAGTATGTTATGGAGAAATAAACTACAATACTAGTCTGTACTAGCTACAGATTGTTTGTTGCCAGGTCGATTAGCGTCTGTTTCGGTGCATGCGTTTTGAGAGGACCGATAGGACGCAAGGCGCGCTTCTTGGACGGATTTGGCAAGGAATTGGGATAGATTGACTTACGTATATGCCTCAGCGTGTGCCGATCATCCTGCCTTTTCTTGTCCAAGAGTGAACTGAGCGAGGTTCTTAGCCTGGAGATTGGAGAGTGATGACGATTTCCGCGAAGATGTTGGGTCCTACCGTCCGCCCAAGCGTACTGGTCCGCCAGTGCTGCTGTCTTTATTCTGTCAGGTTATCTAACGGCGCTATGGGCATGTAGGTACAGCATTGCAGTAGCAAATGCTTATCTAAATTTGCGGTGGCATTTTCCCATGCTTAGTAGGAAGCGCTCGACGTCCCTTCCGTACGTGTCGTGGAAGGGACGTGTCTGTCATTGACGCACATCAACTAGATGGAGATCTTGATTGTAGCATTTCGCAGCAGCGTTTCATCGTTCAGCGGCCTAACGCCTAGCCAGCTCTTATTTCGAGGGGGTGGTACTTTGCTGAGGAGCATGAGTGGTCACGCTGCATCGTGAGCCAGATGAAGCCGGTAGGCAGACCGTGTACCGTACATTTGCGTACATGATTTTGTCCCACGAACCTAAGCGATGCGCATTTTTGTCCACAAATTTACTATATATACCCAGCATGCCTATTAGTCGTTAGGGGGCAGCACCGGGCGTGGTGTATTGCGATAGAGGGCAGGACCTATGCAACAAAACTTGCTCCAATTCCGTTTTCATCGTGGAAGTAATACGCTGAATGGAGGATCATACTTTGATGTCCAACTTACGTACAACATAAAAAATAAATACGTTAAGGCTCAAGAATACTGTGATCATAGCAGTAGCTCGTGATCAGCAGTGAAATCATGAATAGTGCTCATATACCGGATTTAGTGCAAAATGAGCTACCACACACCCATTTATTATGCCAGATCTGGCATCGCCTCTATACTAACTAAAATAGTGCGGAATGACCGGATATACCTGTGTTTGACAGGAATTGCCTGCGAAAAGACGATGTGAATTTATAAGTAGTGTTTGGGATGGGGACAAGGATAAGGATGACTGGGAGAAGGATGAGGATGTAGAGTGGGTAAAGGATGGGTGAAAGGATGGATTCAGGCCCGCCTACTGGCTGTTGTGGTAGCTTCTGCTAATATTCCTCGTGTGTCTAGGGGTATTCTAATCTGTGTCATCTGCACAATCCTACTCATCGTTGTCTAGGGGTATCGTCTTAACACTCAACAATCCTTTAGCCGTTGTCTAGGGGTATTCTGATCGACCAAAAACCATGTGTCCCACAAACCCGTTCGTGTCCGAATCATCATATTGCCAGCGTTTCCACAATCATTTCCAACCTCGAGAAAGAACGTAGAAGGTATACATATTAAATATATATTGTAATTGAAAAGGCCGAAATAAATAAAAGCGAACAATTCAAACAAAAAGAGCCAGAAAACGAGCAATGTCACGGTAACCGTGCACTGCTAAAGTGAATATAGCCAAAGTGCCGAAACAAAAACCGAAACAATGACCAAGCCAAATCATAACACCGATTCGATATTGCCAAAGGGGTGGGACTGACTCATATAGTAGCCAAATAAGTCAAGCGGAAGAGCCGAAATGGAATGAGTCAAGTCCCAAAGACCGTGTCTCACAGTCACGACTCACAGTGACATGTAAACCAACCTGTCGCTCTTGTCACAGTTCCCAGTTCACAGTTCACAGTTCACAGTACCCAGTTCACAGTACCCAGTTCACAGTACCCAGTGCCAGTGTGTGTATATGTGCGTGTCTGTGCCTGAGACATATCTCCGACCACAGCCGAGTCTTGATCCGAAGTCAGGCTCAAACCCTCTCACTCCGCCGGCCAGCTAGCCAGGGGCGCGACTAGGGCAGTGCAAGAATTCAGTCAGAGACCTCCAACTGGGTTGAAGATAGGCCCCAGGTACTTACATTGTGAGAGAAGTGTCGAGACGTCAACCGCGAGCGGCGTCAGCACCACGAATGAGCGAGAGCTCCCAGGAGAATAGCTCACAAGTGAAAGGAAGTGAAGCCCCGAACTGCCGAACACACGCTTTTTATATGACTCGGTCACGGCCAACCTCGCCTCCTCCCCAGTCCTCCGTCGGGAGGAGGAGCTACACGGCACCGCCATCTTGTCGTCGACGAGCGGACCAGGGGCCGGGTAGCCTCAGGCCCTTAGCAGCCCAGCCCCGACGCAGTCCCCACCCCGGGCGCGCCTCGTGACGTCACGCGCCCCACCGCTCGGGCCGGGCGGCACACTCCTGCCTCGGGCACCGTCGTCCGGCCGCCGTGTTCTCTTGGCCTTGGTTCGCGCTGTCTTCTGTGGTCGACTGGTCCAGAGGTGCAGCTCCGTCGTGCCGTGTCTATGCCTCCGGTGTCGCCGGCAGGCCGACGCAACCTTGGCCGCGCTCTCCGAGTCCGGGCGGCCCCGCTGCTCGGAGTGGCGATGTGAGGTCGGCCGGTCACGAAGTTTTCCACACTTTATACATAGGGAATGGAGAACAGATTAGTTCGCCGATCAACTACCACCACCAGCCATGTTACGCTTTCGTAGATAACATGTCATTCATTTCAGTTATAGATATTTCTAAAACAGCTCGTAGAACTCGCTAAAAAGTCTATCTAATATCTAATCACTATCACACCGTTTTACCTATATATCTTTACCAACGCTGTAAAGATTGACGACCTTTTACCTTTTGCCTTCACATTTCCACCAGGTCTCGCTAGACCCGATCGGCAACACTGCACGATATCCCGTCACTGTTACGTCTTTATCGCAAGATATGCACGATATGT